CAGACATTTCTTTGTGTAACAGAAGAAATAATTTTTTTCCTGTCAGATAATTTTCAAAACCTCAATAATAACTTTTGCTATGTTCCGTCTGCGTTCCTAGCTCGTTTTGTTTATGAACAAATTTTCTCGCACAATACTCGAAATTTTAGCAGTTTCTTCATAGAATTTATGTAACTCTCATAGAGGAATGAGGCGTCTCGCCGCCCCAAGCCGCCCGCACTCTTCATTGCAAGCGCTACTGCTTAACACTAGCAAAGTTTTTGCTTGCACTTGTTCTGTAACACGAATATGCTGTTTCGCGACAACAGATTGTCCTAACAAGAGAGAAATTTACAATCAGAAGTGAACACATTCTGGAACTTTCTGAGATCCTGACGTCGACAGGCAATGGAGCTTCTCCGATTCATGCAAACTAATTCCAACATAATAGCCACTTCATCAGAACGAACAAGTCCCGTGACGGTCTGTATGTGCTGGTTACTACGAGCAATTAGCACCAGGTAGCAGTCGCTGTAAATGACTTCCCGCTTTCCTAATTGGCTAAATAAAACACAACTGGGCGACTGCTAGTGTGTTACAAACCGAAACAAGTCACATGTGCTCTTCTTACACGCATATTGCTGGAATCCTGACAGCCACATTCTCGCATCCAAAAACAGATCGATACTTACACAAACTCCGTGGCCTTCAGTCCACAAGCGAACTATATCGACCGAGCGACCGCCGCTTGTCGGCGAAGTTAGTGCCAACTTTTGCGGATAGAGGGTGACACGGGTCCCCACGGCCGTTCTTCTCGGTTTTCTAGACCGGAGCGGCTACTTTTCAATTCAAATAGTTCCTCAGCTATCCTCACGAGGCTGGGTGGACCCCGTTCCAGACCCACTACTCTCTGGATCTGTAGCCAGGAACTCTGACCACTAGACCACAGACGGTAACACAGTAAGGTGACTCGCTACGGAATGGCCTATAGGTGTTATGTTGTAAGAGGTAAGCCGGGATCCTCATTCAGTATCACTGACTGGCAACGTGCTGAAGGGCGGAGTTCCCTTGTAAGAGGTGAGCCGGTGAAGCTCAATTACTATACGGGATGGACAAGAAGTTTGGAGAGGTAGCTCAGTCAGAATAGTTAGTGGATACTTGGTGGATATTGGAGGTTCAATTACAGGAGGTGGGGCGTAGTGGTGCTAACAGTATGCTTAGCGGACATAAGAAGTTGGATTGTAGAGAGGTGAGACAGAATAGCTTAATCATTACAGTGAATGCGTACTGGTTGGTTGCCCGGGGTTCGATTGTAAGAGGTCAGCCGGAACAGGTCAGTCAACGCAAGTTAACTATATACATCGGGTACTATGCATGATCTGCTGTTATAGATTAGTGAAAGCGGCCGACCCTTTAAGCCAGTCAGTCTCCTGATTGATTCGCTCGACCGGTTTGTTTCTGAGTATTACGCCTACATCATTATCATTATCAACAGCAAGTGATGATTCTCAAGCAAAATATTAACAGTCCGGACCAGCTTATGTACGTACTCGTATATTTACAATTTTATCCGAAAATTTGTTTTGTATCATGAAACTCTTGATAAATCTTCACACCAGAACAAACCCGGCTTTGAGGCCCATTCTGCTTTGTATCCGGTAGATATTTGGGGTTATTTCTTCGGCGGTAAAGCGGATGGAGCCTGAAACTGACGACTCATCTTGAAGTACTGCTCAGGACTGCAATTCGCGCAACGGTATTTCCCCGTTCCATACACACCTTCATATCACAAATCTTACTCAGACTGCAGGCTGTAATGAACTGTTTACATTATCTCCAAACAGTACTTAATCTAAAATATTGTAACGTGTATATCCATTGCTAGGCAACGGGTGGCTAAACACGTTCTTGCGGCAAAGAGTACGCAGGGAAAAGTAGAAGAATTGCATTATATTTGCAATTGCAACGTAAACACACATCTATAACAATAGAGGAATTGTTGGGGTAAGGTGTTTTCAGTGCGTTTTCTGTGCGTGGTCCGTGCCGAAATTTTAAAGGGGAGAATGTATGTCGTATCCTGTCAGTCGTAAAAAGAGAAGCAGAATGAAGAGAGATCTCGAAAGTCGAGATTTATTGCGAGCTGTCGTAATTGATTGTAATTGCAAAGAACTGCCAATAAATCCAGTCATCTCATCCAAAGCCCATTATTATTAGTCACGCTAATCCCGGACTCGTGACAATATTTCTAATTGGAGTTGCACAATTTGTGTCATGGGTACATTAGCTACGAAGCTTTAAGATTGATATGGGCTGTAAAACTACAGCTCAATTAGCGTTAGAAATTTTGGGATGTTTTCCTGAAATATTGATTACGATTCGGTAACCTATCAACTGGACAGATCTGCGGTAGGTTCGACAGGGCATGAAGCCGATGTATCCCGTCTGTCTAGAGCTCAAAGAAACTTTATGTGGAACTTTGCTCTGCGCCGACCATACAGCCCCTTCACGCTAAGGCTGAACATCTACGTTATCAAGGGTTAAAACTTCTTGGCCTGTAGTCCTCAAGCGATTTATACCGCCCGAGCAACCGCCGCTTGTCGGCTAAGTTAGTGTCAACATTTGAGGATAGAGGGTGTCACGTGGTCAGCACAACGGTTCCCCACAGCCGTTAATCTCGGTTTTCTAGACCGGAGACGCTATTTCCTTGAAATAGCTCCTCAATTATCCCCACGAGGCTGAGCAGACCCCGTTCCAGACCAACTACTTCTCATAAAATCTGGTAGCGCCGGGAATCGAATCCGGGACCTCTGGATCTGTAGCCAGGAACTCTGAACACTAGACCGCAGAGGCGGTCATTATCAGTTTATAAAATAATCAAAGCTGTCACATTCGGTGATCACTGAACTTAAGAATATCCTAAACTGAGTCTAGCAGCATCATCTTCACATTCGGGGCCTCGCCTGTGGAAACGTGAAGTTTTATTACAATCCAAGAGGCTCTCTAACAAACCGCCTTCCATTCTTGACGACACAGCGATTAGTATTAAGAAAAAATAAGTCAATATGCCCCTTTACCTAGGCATCAGGCCACGACGGCCTTTACACAAGCGTACAGGTGAAATTCCTTTATTATAGATGGAATATATGGTAATTTACAGGCTATGGCAATGTTACTGTAGGGGGCAAACTGTCGTCGATACAAAGAATGCTGAGTGGACTTAGGAGGCGTCTAGGTTAAGGAGACAAAACCTGCTACTACAGGAAATTAACTAAAACACTTAACCCATCGTTCCACTGACTCAGATATGGCAGACACTAAATCCATAGTTCTACTATTGCATCCCGTTTATTTGTACACGAAGTTCTAGAAAGAAATTTATTCATATACATCGTTTCTGGCATTTAAGCAATGCAATTCATGGTCTGATCATTTGAATAATAACAGCTTGTCTACCTATCACAAACTCAAATCTCCATTTCTTCATCAACTTTGTGTTTACGAAAACAGGCCCACAACAAAGGTTGTCACAAAATATATTTGTAGCTACAGTTATGATTTATGTGCTCACTAAGTATCGTATTCCCAGGTCAAAGGGTCCATCAAATGAGCGTTTCCTTAAAAAGGAGCTGCGACACCTCAGGAGGCCATTTTCCGGAGCTTCCGGAACTAATTATCATAAAAATATATTGATAATATAAGGCCACATTAAAATAAGCAACATAAAATAGGTATGTAATAAAAAAGAACTTAATGTATGTATGTATATAGATATGCATACAGTAAAACCTGTCTTAAGCGGAATCTCAAGGGTCCCGAATATTTTCCTGCTGAAGGCAGGTATCCGTTTAATCAAGTATACCATAATGATTAAACCAGGGCATGCACTTATTTGAGACAAAATAAAACACCATACTCATTAATTTATTCACACTATAATCATCGAACACATGTAAATATTACACTGAAAAGAAAAAACAATTGCAGTATTCACTTTTTATAATTTTACCAGAATTCAAACAAGAGTTTCTGCGCGCAGTTTGCTCTCTTGGTTGCCTGACTTTCCACAAACACTTTATTTTCCTTAGCACTACAGCCCCAGTGGGCCTAGGCCTACCTCCATGAACTTCTCCGTTCACTTCGGTTTTTCTAGATCTTACACATTCGGTAGGACTCCTTAGGCGGGTGATCAGCTCGTCGCAAGGCCTCTACTTGTACACAAACACAGAAAAACGCACACGCACACAAATTAATCATCCATGCCCTGAGTGGGATTCGAACCCACGATCTCGGTTTCCAAGCGAGCGAAGACAGTACATGCCTTAGACCGCTCGGCTACCGTGACCGGCCCACAAACACTTTAGCTTGAGAAATTACACTAAGCATGTCTGAATCATTCCGTTGTACGGCAAATTCCTGCAGTTCCTTCAAACTTTTGACAGCATCTTGGTAAGTCTTCACTCTACACTTTTTCTCTTCTCCTTCCTCCTCTCTTTCTTTTCGAATTTCTCTAAAATTCTGAACTTATACATCAATATCCACTGTGTCTGGTTCCGTTTGCACATCCTTGTCTATGTTGTGAAGTCCTCAGCATTGCAGTTACTGAAAGAAGATCCAGTCATGCAGTTTTGCAAGCCCTGTTGGTCATTCTCATTTTCTGCACTAGCAGTAACTTCATCCATAGGGCCGCGCCATAGCTCAAGCGGTTAGTCGCTGGCTTCCCACCGCGGCGGCCCGGGTTCGATCCCAGGTCTGGTCAAGTGGGATTGGTGGTGGACAAATTGGTGCTGGGGCGGGTTTTCTCCGAGTATTTCGGTTTCCCCTGCCAATCTTCATTCCACCAAATTCTCCATCATCATAATCACCCGGAGCAGGCTACAAAATGCCAATCAGCAGCCGCCGTGCCAAGTGGACCCAGTTGGACTCCACCCCCCATTTAGCGAATTTAAAATTTAATGTAACTTCACCCATAGAAAACACTTTGTCGCAGTTTCTGGTAACAAGTTCTTTACTGCTTGACTTACCCAGATAACCGCACCTAGAGCCGAGACAGTTCTTGCAAGTTCACAGCCGGATGATGTAGGATCTATTTTGGCGAGCAAAGATTGTATTAATAACTCATGAGAGTGGACGTTAACATGCCGAATGATGCAATGATCCACTGGTTGAGAAACATTAGTGGTAACTGGAGGGAACCAAGCAAGAGGCACTTTGGAATGTTCGGTATGGGGGTGACATGTTGCATTATCCAAGAACAACAAAACATGCTGCTTTTGCATTGTCATTCTGCAATTGAAAGCTGCTAACCATTCCTTCATGATCTGTGACGTCATCCATGCCTTTTTGTCGGATCTCCGCTCAAAGGCAAGTTTCCGTATGTCCAGGCTTCGGAAGCACTGTGACTTTGCTGTCTTGCAGATCACCAAGGGTTTCTCCATTTCACCTGACATAAAACCAAACAGAGAAACAGCCAATCTTTCTCTGCGCAGTTTTCCGCCCGAAAAATTTTCACCTTTCAGACATGGCGATTTATTCGGAAGCGCGCGGAAGAACTGTCCAGTCCCATCACCGTTCGCTGTGTTTTCAGGTTCATATCCCTCCACCTCCATTATGGATGGCTATTTAGCTACCCACTCCTCAATGGTCCCACTATTTGCACCACTTGATTCACCACAAAGTTCATAAATACTATCTGATGTCTTTTGGGAAAACTCTCCAACCATCCGTTAGATGCTTTCAATTCAGTCTTCTCCAGTTTTTCAGCGACTTTTTAAGCATATTCCTGTACCATAGGACCCGACAACCGGTGATTTTTCGCCCTCACACTGACAAATAACTCCAACACTCTTTTATTAACGTCTTCGTTTGCAGTTTTCTTAAGTTCTCTTTTTATTTTTCCATTAGCACAATTTTCCGACCGCTTCAAATTTTCCGTTTTCTTCTTTAGAATCTCATACACTTGAGTTTTACCGACGTTAAACATCTTCATGATCTGCTTAACAAACAACTTATCTCTCTCACTCACATGAATCACTTTTACTCTTATGTTAAGATCAAGCACAACTCTTGTCTTTGTAGCCATGATGACAACTGCTAGACGAAAGTAAAACTGTAGGCCTAGAGCCCTTACTGAGTAAAATTTCCGGAAGGGGCAAACAGTTCAGTTGAATTTCACTGCAGGTAGTGCAGTACCGTTAAAAGCTGAATTGACAGAGTTAGAGAAAACAAAATTCCGTAGAATGTAAATGATGCCTAAAATTCTTCTAAACAGTGCATTCCGGAAGACTGGAAATTTTCTGTATAAAGTCTTATTTTGATTTCCGTTTCCGTGTTAGACAGTTTCCGTTTAACCCAGGATATTTAACATACTTTTGAGCCTCAAAGTCAAGGGTCCTGAAAATATTTCCGTTTAATAAAGGGTCCGCTTAAGGCCGGTTTATATATGCAGGTATGTATGCAGATAGATACTCGTAGATAGATAGATAGATGGATAGACAGACAGATAGACAGACAGACAGACAGAGAGACAGACAGACAGGCAGATAGATAGATAGATGGATAGACAGACAGATAGACAGGCAGATAGATAGATAGACAGACAGACAGAGAGACAGACAGACAGGCAGATAGATAGATAGATGGATAGACAGACAGATAGACAGACAGACAGAGAGAGAGATAGATGGATGGATAGACAGACAGATAGACAGATAGACAGGCAGATAGATAGATAGATAGATAGACAGACAGCTCTACGGACTATAGGCGACAAAGTAATTTGTGCTCCTTTAATAATTTACTGGTTTAACGTAGTCTGTCTCATGCGCATGTCATAGCGCATGACTTCATGNCAGGCAGATAGATAGATAGAGAGACAGAGAGACAGAGAGACAGACAGATAGATAGATACATAGATAGATAGATAGATAGATAGATAGATAGATAGACAGACAGCTCTACGGACTATAGGCGACAAAGTAATTTGTGCTCCTTTAATAATTTACTGGTTTAACGTAGTCTGTCTCATGCGCATGTCATAGCGCATGACTTCATGACTGTCAGCAGGTGTATGCTGGTTGACATACAGGTCACAACTGCAGCATAATAGGAATACGTCGTCGCGGTTGAATTCTAATGGCGTACGTACGAAGAATATGAGTGAACGTAATGTAATAAAATGAAGAACCGTTCACTGAAAATACGAAGAACGGTTACAAAATGATGCAAAGTGACAGAAAATCAAAATTCTTTTGTGCTTTAATAATGACCTTCCCATGCACGCATATAAACGGTATAGACATTAAATAATACAGCCAGATGTCGCTAAAGAGTAGAATGCTTTGTAACTTTTAAATAAATGTCTGCAATAAAGAATAATTAACTGGCAAGACTTACGAACGTATGAGGTGGGGGGGAAAAGAAGCGCTAGGTAGGAACTTCAAATTTTGTACGAAAACCGATATACAGGAGAATACACGAACTTTTACAGAGTTGCTGTTTCATGAAAATTATGTAACGAACGCGCGAATTTCATTGGTTTGAGATGATAACTGATAAATTCTGAAGAGCTGCATGTCACAGTAGAACCTTCTAGAAGTATAAATGCCTAATCCTTAGCTAGAAACAGGAACGCCTCCTGGCTTCAGCACAGAACAACTCCATGAAGAGTTCCCTCTTGAGCAGGTGGCAGTCTCTCCCTTTGTTCAGAAATGTTCCGCCTTTCATGAAACTTCAAGTTTGATGGTGTTCACGACTGCTAGCATTGCAAACTATCCCCAGCTACACGAATTCAACCCACATACATTCCAAGCTGTAAAACCCAATATTATCTACCCCTAATTCACATCTTAACCGGTCACGGTAGCCGAGCCGTCTAAGGCATGTACAGTCTTCGCTCGCTTGGAAACCGGGATCGTGGGTTCGAATCCCACTCAGGGCATGGATGTTTAGTTTGTGTGTGTTTTTCTGTGTTTGTGTACAGGTAGATGCCTTGCGACGAGCTGATCACCCGCCCAAGGATTCCTACCGAATGTGTAAGATCTAGAAAAACCGAAGTGAACGGAGAAGTTCATGGAGGTAGGCCTAGACCCACTGGGGCTGTAGTGCCAAGGAAACAAAAATCACATCTTGAATAGGCCTATATAATTACGTGCAACCTAACCTTACTTTCTCTTTCTTTTAGGCCCAGAATCATCCGATCCTCGGATGCACTCCCTTCCGCTTTCGGCATCTAGTTTAACATCCTCAGAAAACAGCAGACGAAAAGTATAATTTTTATTAATACTCGTACTAACCATTCATTCTCAAAACATGAATTTTTATCAAATTCTTATTTGATTTTCGGTCTACTGGCTCTAATTCCAGCGTGAATTCGGGCAAATACTCAACGCATATTCCAAGAAGGACTCGAATTTCAGACTTGTTTTCGTGATCTTTACATCAATTAAGAATGTATTAACAAAATATAATTAACACCAAACTATGACGCAAAGATAAATAGCTCAGAATGAAGATATGCTTATCCTACCCTCAGAACTGAGCAGCTCCTATCCTCTGTACCCCTCACTGTTCAAAATAGATGTCAGTCGCCCCTGGTTCTCGTGTTGCGTTCTCGATATTCCCCAGATGGACTGGGGTGTCCAGGAAAGGCTGAATCTCAATAATAAGTATTTAATAAGTAACAATAACACAAAAATAATAACAAATACTTGCATTAACAAAATCAAATATTCCTGGCCGCCCATGCCCTCGGCCACCTAGTAGATCACAGATAATTGTCAACAAGAAAATACAACAAACATACAAATGACAGGCACTCTGAGAGTTTCGCAACCTCTTATCTAGAAATGAATGACTACCACCTAGTAACATTTCCGAGATAAACCAGGTCCCAAGGTTTGCCTCATTAACTAGCCCTATGGCAACATTCAGCAATACAAAACAATAACACTACGTTGCAGCCGACTCACTTCACAGCTTCCCCAAAGAGAAATTATATTTAATGTATCGTTGCTACAATTCAAACAGAGGGCAATAAGAAGCCTAAAGAAATCACAGTATCCAAAACCCTGGTTGCTACAAGGCTGTCCCAGTCCTGAACGGTCCGAACATAATTCCAACATACCTCCGCCGAACACTGAACCACAAAAGCCCATGTCACCACTCCACATGGCCAGACAAAACTCTCAGCACATTTTAGAACATCTGGAGGAGGGGGAGGGAATCACGTGGTAAACCGGACTTGTGGGATTACGCAAGGCCGGAAGTATGGGAATGAGTAGTTCGGGGGGGAGGGGAAATAGGAAAAGAGGAGCCCGACCGCCCAAAGGCGAACACCAACCGAGCCTTAACGTAAATATGGTTCAGAACTAGAGTCAGATAAAAATTAAACTCTGTGGTTTTAATCCGCAAGCGAACTATACCGACCGAGCGACCGCCGCTTGTCGGCGAAGTTAGTGCCAACTTTAGTGGATAGAGGGTGTCGCGTGGTCAGAACAACGGATCCCCAAGGACGTTAATTTGGGTTTTCTAGACCGGAGCCGCTATTTCCTTGGAATAGCTCCTCAGTTATCCTCACGAGGCTGAGTGGGACCCTTTCCAGACCCACTACTTCTCAGAAAAGCTGGTAGCGCCGAGAATCGAACCCAGGACCTCAGGATCTGTAACCAGGCACTCTGACTAATAGACCACAAAAAGTTGGCACTAACTCCGCCGACAAGCTGCGGTCCCTTGGTCGGTATAGTTCTCTTGCGGACTAACACCGCGGAGTTTGTTTTCTTATTACACAAAACATGCCTCTCTGCGATCTCGAATTGACCACCCCAATTATAATGGTTGAAGAACAGGTCTACTAATTACGAATGATCCTCGCTGTGGAGGTTTGTCTAGCCCCCGGCTACTTACAAATGTTGTTAGGGCTCTGTTCTCGAACATCCACAATCTGAGTTCTTCTTTCAGTGTATCCGTCCTAATTTAATTACGGAATTTTAATCTGCCTTTCTCTAACTTGGTGAAAACATAAATCCATTTTAGGCAATGTTATCTGTATGTCGACCAGACGAAATTATGAGGTGTTCATATCACTAACGTAGTTCAGTACGAGGTCTTGAAGGTTTTGTAAATGTTTATGTTTTAAAATCTATGTAAATTATGGAAATGGAAGATAACATGAAAACGCGTGTTGCTTTATTAATTAATTAAATAATTATTTTAATTATACCGACGGCAGAAGCTTGTTCAAAGTTTAGGTCAAATATTCTGTTCTGTACCCAATTAATATCTCTATTGGTCAGTCATTGATTTCATTAACTTTTTAACATACCACTTCCTCCTTGGACCCACAATATGGAACTCTCACTGGGACGTGACTAATTTATTTCTGTTTGGTAGTTACTCCCATACGTGGCCGCGCCATAGCTCAAGCGGTTAGTCGCTGGCTTCCCACCGGGTTCGATCCCGGGTCTGGTCAAGTGGGATTTGTGGAGGACGAAGTGGCTCTGGGGCGGGATTTCTCCAAGTACTTCGGTTTCCCCTGCCAATCTTCATTCCACCAGTTGCTCCACAATCACCCTCACCTACATCTGGAGCAGTACAGTAGGCCATAAGTGGC